TAGCCCATTCCAGCCTTGTGCAGATCTACAATCTTGTCTCTGACATTTTTTGACAGCTCTTTGGTCTTGCCCATGGTGGTGGGAGAGGTTGGAATGGAAGATACAGATTGTGTGGACAGGTGTCTTATACTTCTAACGATCTGACATTAGGAGTAACTTCTTAAAGTGACAGGACTAATCTGTGTTCCACATGGGCACATAACCAATCTGTGGGAGCTAGAATTCTTGCTGGTTGGTAGGGGATCAAATACTTATTTCACTCACTGAAATGCAAATCAATTTCTAACCTTTATATAATGTGTTTTTTCTGGATTATTTGGTTGATATTCTGTCTCTATCCGTTAAAATAAACCTACCATAAAAATTACAGACCCTTAATTTCTTTGTAAGTGGGCAAACGTACTAAATCAGCAGGGGATCAAATAAATATTTCCCCCACTATATAAATCAAATTATATTGCTGAGAAAATGGATGCATGTCCTCTTTTTGGACCTACCAAATATATCCGGCCGGAATTTCTTAATTGCCAAAAATGTCCGGGATTCGGCTGTTTTCCTAATCCCACTCCCACTGAATCGCTAACCATTGCCGCCTGCTCCCGCAACATTTTTTCGCTCCCGTTTCTTTTTTGTGTCCACTCCTTTAAATGTTTTAATATTGTATATACACTGAACAAAAATATAAACGCAACACTTTTGTTTTTGCCCCCATTTTTCATGAGCTGAACTCAAAGATCTAAGACTTTTTTTATGTACACAAAAGGTCTATTTCTCTCAAATATTGTTCACAAATCTGTGTTAGTGAGCACTTCTCCTTTGCTGAGATAATCCATCCACCTCAAGACCCCGATGAGGACGATGAGCATGCAGATGAGCTTCCCTGAGACAGTTTGTGCAGAAATTCTTTGGTTTTGCAAACCGATTGTTGCAGCAGCTGTCCGGGTGGCTGGTCTCAGACGATCTTGGAGGTGAAGATGCTGGATGTGGAGGTCCTGGGCTGGTGTGGTTACACGTGGTCTGCGGTTGTGAGGCTGGTTGGATGTACTGCCAAATTCTCTGAAACGCCTTTGGAGGCGGCTTATGGTAGAGAAATGAACATTCAATTCACGGGCAACAGCTCTGGTGGACATTCCTGCAGTCAGCATGCCAATTGCACGCTCCCTCAAAACTTGCGGCATCTGTTGCATTGTGCTGTGTGATAAAACTGCACATTTTAGATTGGCCTTTTATTGTGGCCAGCCTAAGGCACACCTGTGCAATAATCATGCTGTCTAATCAGCATCTTGATATGCCATACCTGTGAGGTGGATGGATTATCTCGGCAAAGGAGAAGTGCTCACTAACACAGATTTACACAGATTTGTGAACAATATTTGAGAGAAATAGGCCTTTTGTGTACATAGAAAAAGTTTTAGATCTTTGAGTTCAGCTCATGAAAAATGGGGGCAAAAACAAAAGTGTTGCATTTATAATTTTGTTCAGTGTAATTTTGGCGCATCGGGGAGCCACTCTCACGATGCGGTGTATTTAAATATTTTTGAATGAGCGTTTGCGCTGTTTACTTTCACTTTCAATTTCGCAATCACACGCATTCTGTGTAAAGGGAGCACATCTTACGAGATCAGATATTTGTCAATGAGCTCAGGATCTGCTGAGCAGCAAATACTCCAGCATGGTCTTGTCAGTCATCTCTCCTTATTCTGGCCCATACTTATGTTGGATGCAGGGTTGCCAAGTCCGCGTTTTTTCCACAGAATTGGGCTACTTTTAAACTGTTGCCATGGGTTGATTTTCCCAAGTGGGTTAAAGGTTTGAAATATTGCATAAATTATTACATTTAACTGAAATGCTTGTATTGAAACATTTTGCATCTACCTATGATAAAACTTTCATGGTCTTCTACATTAACTGTTCCCTCCTGGTGGAATGACCTGCCCAGCTCAATCCAAGCAGCTGAGTCCTTAATATTTTCAAGAAACGGCTGAAAACACATCTCTTTCATCTTCATTTGACCCTCTAATTCTAGCACTCTCTATTCTAATGCTACTTCTAATTTTATCTCCTTGTTTTTTTAGTTTTTTTTTATTAAAGAACTTGACCCTGTAACGAATCAGCTCATGGGAAATATGAATAATTAATCATAACTAGTTATAATTATGAATATTTTAGATCCGCTGTAGATATTTAGCTGACCTCTCAGGGTCAACTGTCTTGTCAATTCTAAGAACGTTAATTTCCTGGTTAAAGGAAATAACTTCCTTACTGTACAATTCTACAAAAGCTTGTAGCATAAATCTGCATGAATAAGTGACTCCAGTTATGAGCATATGGGCAAGGAAGCGATTTTCTTCACCTAAATTCCAGGAGGTCGTAAATGTATCGGGTGTCAGGGTTGCCATGGAACCAGGGGCCTGTTCGGCTTCCTGGGGTGTTACAGAGTATTTGTTAAATCTAGCTAACAAAATATATATTGTGTGTTTGAGTGGTCCAGACGCTACAACCCTCTAACATTTGCACTCTGTATTCTATCTAACTACTTGTTTTATTTATAAAGAAAGAATAGCCTCTAACACTAGCATTCTCTTTCTCTATTCTTTCTACTTATTTTCTTTTTATTTATTATAAATAATGACCTTCTAACACTTTCATTATCTATTCTTTTTCTGTTCTATTGACTTGTTTTATTTTTATTTAAAAATGACCCTCTAACGCTAGCATTCCCTATTGTTTTTCTATTCTTTCTACTTGTTTTCTTTTTATTTAATGATAAAAACAAAATAAGCAACAAAAAAAACCTGGCTACTTATACTGTTAGGCGAAGCCCCGCCCCTTTCCCCCCGCACACGAACCCCGCCCCCGACTGTCCTCGTTTTGAAAAACTAAAATATGGTCACCCTAGTTAATGAGTCTTGAACTGAACTGAACTGAACCACTGGCCTAAAAGATCATATTTGTTTCAATAATAGAACATGTGAACGTTTAAGTCATGCTTTTAGAAAGTATTCACATTCTCTTCTTTCTGTAGATCAAACTGTCATTTTGAGAAGTCATAGGCTATTCAGTCTGTGAAGGGAGGAGCTACTGGAGGAGTTTATTCACACTGCAGAGCTTCACTAAAGCCCTTCACTGCAGACAGACAGCTTCATTCACTTTGTTACAAAGCATTTTCAAAAGTCAGAACTCCATTATTATAATCTCTTGTGAAACTCTTCAGAAAATGTTTGAGACGTTTGTTTTCTTCTGCTTGTGCTTGTGGAGTCTTTCGGGCAAGTATTATGGCTTCAGTTCTGTTTGTATGATCAAATATCTGAGTATTTATTTTCATCACTCATTTGGCATCTAATGTTTTCAAGTTTTGTCTGACTAAAGTACTCAAGTACGTTTGTGTTCATGCTGAACGTTCCCCATGGTCCCTTTCAGTATAAGGTTTAATTTATTTTGAATTATTCAATTATAAACTCAAATTGGTGCAAAGTAAAGAGTTATTTTGCATGGACAAATAGTTGATAGTTTAGTTGAAATAAAATTATTTAAAAGGTCAAACCCTCATTCTGAGTAACAGTTATTGTTTGTTGATCAGGTGTGTTTGGTGTTGATGCAGTGCAGTCAGTATCAGTGACGAAGGGAGATTCTGTTACTCTAAACGCGACTGATATACAGCCGAATGATGAGATCGAGTGGCGGTTTGGACAAATTCTCATTGCTGAAATCAACATAAAGATCAAAATGAGCATTTTTCATAATAATAGTGCTGATGGGAGATTCAGAGGCAGACTGAAGCTGGACAATGAGACTGGATCTCTGAGCATCACAAACACCAGAACCACAGACTCTGGAGTTTATAAAGTATGCAGCAGCAGATTAGAGACACCGCTCAACACATTCAATCTTTCTGTCTATGGTGAGTCAAAAACACTTTTCATACTCTCACTATTTAGTTTCTCTTTAATTTCTCTACTAATGGCCGACATTGCATGCGCATCATAACATGAAAATTGTTATTTTTGTCTTCTTTCTTATTTTGTTATCTGAAATTCATGAACATTTCCAGCACATTTATTATTATTTGATTACAGCTTGTGGTGGAAATTACATTGTGTAAATTTTTTTGCAATATATTTTTGTGTAAACAGTTGTTTACAACAGTTGTGTAAACATGAACCACCTTTATCACCTTTATTTCTATAGCGATTTCACAGAGATAAACAGGCAAACAACAGAATCAATTACGGAAACTCAACCATGGAGACAATTCAGATTCTGCTGTAAAGCAGCTTTAAAACACAATAGTGTCATTATTTATCTCGAGTCAGTTCAGTGCTGGTTCAGTTCAGATCAATACCCGTGTGAAGTTCACCAGTTTAAAAACAAGTTTATTTCAGCTATAAGCAGCTGTACAGAAGGCAGCAGTTCCCTACAGTTCATTTAGTGTTGATTCAGTTCAGTAATGGTGTTGAATCCTTTATAAATGTTGAGAGAGATCAAGGCTGTTAGTATCAGACTCTCACTGACTGACATCACAATTTACACTCAACACATCAAATAATGAACAATAAAATTGCCCGTTTGCTTACTGCAAATTAGATTTGTTTTCTAATATCTCTTGTCAGCTTTTCTGCCTGTTCCTGTCATCAGCATTTACTGTCCAAAAAATCCTTCATCATCATCATCAGCAGCAGCAGCAGCAGCTTCCAAATGTGCATTTCTGTGTTCAGTGGTGAATGTGGGTCATATGACTCTCTCCTGGTACAAAGGAAACAGTTTATTGTCCAGCATCAGTGTGTCTGATCTCAGCATCAGTCTCTCTCTACCTATGGAGTTTCAGGGTGATTCCTACAGCTGTGTGGTGAACAATCCCATCAGCAACCAGACTCAACATCTGGACCTCAGCCAAATCACATGTTCAGGTACTTTAATGGTCCTATATATTTATATTTTTTTCACAAACTAGACAAATCAAGTTTCTGTTTTGTAACGTTGCTCATTTCTTCTCTCATAAGACTGTCACTGTTGTGGTTTTACTGAAGCTGTGATCCGATTGGCTCTCTCTGCTCTGGTGGGCGTGGCTGCTGTTGCTGTGCTGGTTTATGACATCAGATCCAGAAGTCTTCAGAAGAGAGAGCAGAAGTCACCATCAGACAATGATTAATCAGATTTGCAGGAAGGCAGAGATGATTTTGAACCACTGGAGACATTATGGAGACAATATATCACCTTTGAGTAAATATCATTTATGAGTAAATGATATTTAAGTAATTTTGAATTAATTTTCTTTAAACATAAACATTTTTTATTTTCAGTTCATTTATATTTGAATGTCACTTTTATTTTTTAACAATATAATTCATTCTAAAGTGGCTCTGTCTGCTGTTACAAGACCGTGTTAAGGCCCTGCTGGTGTCCTGTTGAATTTGACTTTTACTTACAGTTGTTTAAGCACTCTTTTTTCCCCCATGAAACACATGAGACACTGCTAGGCCATTTATTGCAATACAAATATCTGCTATAAGAATGTAAATTAAAAATTACATTATAAATGTAATTATAATGTTTGGTTGCAACTATTACATGAAACGACTGACCAAAAGAGAGGAATACTTTAGTGAATATACACTGTAAAATCCAATAGTTTACCTTACTTAGATTTAATTAGTTATCTTTACTTAGTTGTTATACTTACTAAGTTGTATTAAGTTACAGCTACTTTCAAGGCAAATAAAACAATTTACTTACTGCTTTGAGTGACACTTACTTAAAATATTCAAGTAGCCACAAAGGAACCAATGACATTAAAGGCAGGGTATGTAATTTTTCAAAAACACTTTAGAAAACTGATTCGGGCCGAATAGCAAAACAAACTTGTAGCCAATCAGCAATAAGGGGCGTGTCTACTCGTGATGTTGAGGAGAGAGCTTTCAGTGCACGGGACGAACATTAGTCGAGCTGAGCGACAGAAAGATAGAGATGGCGGATAAAAAAAACAAAAGGGGAAAACGTCTGCGGAACGATAAGGCAAGAAGTAGGACCCGTGTAAATATCGGATCAGCTTTCCAGCGCTGGAGAGAACTCAAGGAGCAGTGGCCTGCGATCGGACGCCAAGGTTGCTTTGTTTCTTCTCAATAGGTGAGTAACACCGTGTCTACAACAGCTAAAGTCTGCCTACACTGGACGCGATCAAACGACCATTGAAAACCATTTGAAATGTGTGTCAGCACGTCATAAATAGAACCCGGCAGCAGTTTTCTATCGGGATTTGTTGCGCCGCGCCGCTCACGTCCGATGTAAACAGGGTGTAACATTGGTTTTGCTTTGTTTCACAGAACTAATTGTTGCCTGGGTTGCGTACGTATATGTGGGGCGGAGCTATCAAAATAGGGGCAAGACCCTTTTGGGGTAGGGGCGTGTTTGTTTTGGTAATTTCAAATATCAACATTGGCTACCAGAAATCGCTTACCCTGCCTTTAATAAATCAGTTAGAGGCAGCAGTGCACTAATATGTTGCTAATGTGCAACATAACAACAGAAGAAGAAGAAAATAAAAAGAGTCTTAATAGACCCATTCCCTCCATGTCTGCAGTTATCTTTCACTAGTTGCATTCACTCGTTTCCCAAAGTCATCTTGAATGTTGAATTTTCAATACAACTGAAATATTTGAGAGAACATCACATAAGCTAACTTCATAAATTGATGTTGATTTTCCTAAAATGCAAACACAAGCTGTTCATATCAGCTCCTTCATTGTGATATTTCAGCTCAAATACTGGCAATGTAGAAACATTAATACTCACTCTGCTTCTTTGAACATTAAAGTAAATTAATTTATCAGACAGAGGCAGGGAAAGAGCAGGAAGCAGGAAACAAATCAATGTTAAAATGAGCAGAGTTTATTGAATAATCGTAGTAACTTCAAAAATGTGGCATTATCCACAAAGGCTAATCAGGGTGTAAACCAAATGTGGTCCACATATGTTTCAGCAAATGTGGCCCAGGTATATTAAAACGTATCTGGGTCAGTTTTGGCAAAGATATGGCACAGTGAGTACTGGCTAATGTGGCTGTGAGCCTAAAGTGGCCCTTACATGATGTCGCAAATGTGGCCCAGTTATCCTCAAACGTATCTGGGCCAGTTTTGGCAAAGATATGGCACCATGAGCGCTGGCTAATGTGGCTGTGAGCCTAAAGTGGCCCTTACATGATGTCGCAAATGTGGCCCAGTTATCCTCAAACGTATCTGGGCCAGTTTTGGCAAAGATATGGCACCATGAGCGCTGGCTAATGTGGCTGTGAGCCTAAAGTTGCCCGCATATAAAATGACAAATATTGCCTGAATAATTAATAACAATTTGGGCCACTTTTGGCAAATATTTGGCACAGTCAGCATTGGCTTATCAGTGTGTAAGCCTATAACTTGACCCACATTTGACATGGCAAATATGCCCCATATATTATAAAACAGATAAGGACCCCTTCTGGTTTGAATGTAGCACTTGACACTGGCTAAAGTTTGAAATTGTAAATATGGCATAATAGAATTTGGCTACTTTTAGTAGGATGCAACACAGTTAACTGATGCAGGGTGATCTGGATATGAGTCTTAAGAAGGCTACATAACAAGCAATAATTATTTTTTTTTAATATGCTTTTGATGGCAGTTTTTTATATGTGTACTGTGCAGCATAAAAAGAGAAGTGCACTATAATGCTAGCTCTGTCATGTTTCTGTTAATTTGGACTTTGTTTTCCTTTTGCACCGTTTCCCTTGTTGTGTTGATCGTATTATTCTGTTCAGGTGTGCCTAGTTAATTATCCTTCTTTGATCTGTGTACTCAAGTTCCTGTATGTTCACTGAGTTTGTCTGCTCTTACGTCTATATGTCTTAAATGTTGCTGTGCTACATTGTGTTTGGATTTACCCTTGTTGGATTAAAGACTTATGATATATAACCTTTTCATAACATTAGGTTCAAACTTGTTAAGAACTGTTTTTAAAGTCTTGGAATGTGTCTTTGAATATTTATCTGTGACATTTGAATTGTTGCTTGTGCAAAACTTGGGTTTGGATGATTTTATCAAGTAGGACACATTTCTGGAACTTAATTTGAACATTTAGGGAGGACATTTTTAAATGCATAACTCACTTAAGGCTTAGTGTGGCCCAGATCATGTATATTTATGGTTTATTTGGTTCATTATTAGCTAAAATGTGGCTGTGTAGTGGCCTGCTTGTGGACCACTGCCAAAATGCCACCATTCCATGCAGCATGTGGGCCACATGAGGAATGTGGGGAAGACAAGGATTAGAAAAAAAACAATCTGTGGCCCACATTAGGGCCAGTTTTGGTTTATTTGGTTGACTTACCTGCGGCAATGCTAAGGCTTCCTTGAGGCCCAAATCTGGCAAACAGGAGCAGACCACCCAAGTGCCATCATTCTACACAGTATGTGGGCTGGAGCAAGGTGTTGGATCTGGGCCGGATCGGGGCCAGAATTAAAATCAATGTGGCCCATATTTGGGCCAGTTCTGCTTTATTTGGTTTATTCATGACTGACATTGGACCTAATGGCTTGCTTGTGGCACAAATCTGGCAAACAGGAGCGGACCGCCCAAGTGCCATCATTTCACGCGGTATGTGGGCCAGATGAGATTGTCAGGTGAGGGCCTGATCTGAACCTCAGGAATTTTGCTATCTGGGATGTACAGAGCGAACAGCAAATGGTTAACTCTGAGCTTGAATTTCTCTGTGCTGCTCATTGAATTCAGAGAGTAATGTAATGATCTATCGAAAAATGTGATAAACTTAGATTTTTTTACTTAAAAAAGTGATAAACACTGAATTTATGAATAAAGAAATACTACACTGTTTTATCTGTTTGGAAATTTTTTTTTTTCCAAATGTAAACAACGAGGCTTTATCTTTCTAGTTGTGCATGATGAGCGTTCTTTAGTTGTGAAGCCTCTCTCTCACAGTTTGCATTTTAAATTTAGTTTCACATTTTCACTTTCCTGACATACTGAACCCATTTTTTGTCAACTATATATGATTTTTCAACACACATGTATGGTTAATCCAGACATTACTTAGCATTTCTTGAGGTAATTTACTCTTGATTGCTTCTCGCTCAGTGTTTTTGACTGCAGGAGTACAAGTGCAGGCAGACAGTCTACATGTAAACATGACAGCAAGGCTTAGTGAATGATAAGTTCCACACAACCAGTCAAAAACGACATTTCACGAGCCTACAGTACACAAAAAATGCCTTATTTCAGTAAGTTCCTTACAGTTCAGTAAGTTGATTTAGTAAATGAATCATTCAAAGAAAGCTGCTCGAAAGAGTCATTTGTGAATGAAACACTGGCGTGGTGTTTGTTTTTGCGTGCAGCTCAAGAGGACAGGGCAAACTGATAGAAGGACAGATCAGATAAATATTATTTTTGATTAGTGCTGGGTAACGATTAAGTTAAAAGCTAAAAAGGACAGATTAAAACAAATTAATTGCATCCAAAATAAAGGTTTTTATGTACATAATATATGTGTGTATTGTGTATATTTTAGGGATGCACGATATATCGGCCACCATATCGGTATCGGCCGATAAATGCTCATTTGTTCTGTTATCGGTATCGGCCAAAATTTTCATATCGGTGCATCCCTAGTATATTTATTATGTACATATAAATACACACATATACATGTATATATTTAAGATAAATAGGATATGTTTATATATTTTAATATAAATTATATGAATATAACTATATACATGTAAAAACATGTAAATATTTTCTAAATATATACTGTATATGTGTGTCTTTATATATACATAATAAATACACACAGTACACACACATATATTATGTACACAAAAACATTTATTTTGGATGCGATTAATCATGATTAATCGTTGCCCAGCACTATTTTTGATGCATAACCGTGATACCGGTTTATTGTTTTAACTGATATATCAAACGCTCTTAATTACCGTTCTGCTTATTGATCTTAAAGAATTCTATTACATGACTTTACTTTTAGAGCATTGGTTCTCAGGGACAGAGCAAACTTCCAAGGGGGCCTCAACATGACTTAAAAGAACTAAAAATAAGTTAAAACAAGCTAAAAGAACTAAAAATCAAGATATTTCTTATTTTAATTAACCCCCGCGACAACAGATTCTTTCCTTTGAA